CGCGCCGGCCCGTGAACGCCGCTGATGTGCGGGCTCTGCGCTCCGTTGCCCCGCGTCTGGGTTTGCTCTCTGATGAATTCAGATCCCTGCGTGAACGCCGAGTCTGGAAGGTTTGCAGCGCAGCCTCCAAAAGCAGCCCGAGGGCAAAAGCTCCGCGGCCGGGACCTGCTTGTCTCCGAGCAGAGATGCGCGGGCAGATGCTGCTGAAGCTGTTCAGGGACGGGGTTTGCTTTCACTCTTGGCTGAACACCCACCGGCAGCCTCGCCCCGTTACCCGCTGGGGTCCAGCTTGTGCTGAACCTCCTCTCCCAGCAGCTCCCCCTGGATAAAGAGAGTCTCCAAAATCCTGTGAGCCTCCAAAATTCCATGAGCCTCCAAAATTCCATGAGCCAGGTGGCAGCTGCTGGGCTCAGGCTCTCCGGGGGTGCTGGGTGTTGCAGGCAGAGCTGTTCTCAGCATTCTCAGTGACCAATTCAGGTGTTTACACTGAAATCACACTTGCATATGAATGCTGCTATCTTGTTTTGCACTGCTACGAGTAGTAACTGGATTTTGCTTATTAATTGTTCCTTTGGTATTTAACATAGGGGTAGTAATTTATTTTGTGTTTTAAAACTTGACTGCCTGGGTTGTGTTTTGCTCTAAACCCCTGTGCTGCACGTGACCTGTTCTCTGTTGAGTGGTTTTGTGTCCTTGAAACCAAACCCAAGGCAACCAGGGATTGCTGTTGCTCTGTTAGTAAAGCAATAGTAGGAGGGTGGCCTGGAACAGATCTAGTCCCTAAAATAAGGGAAATATGAGAGAGGAAGGCAGGCAATGCTGTTTTATTGCTTTCTGACTTTTTTTTTGGTCTCTGGGTCCTTTATTGCTGATTTTTCTGGGTGCTGCTTGCAGGGGGATTGCATTGACAGCTCTGCCTCCTCTGGAGCATCAATCTTGTGTTTGTTCTTTACTCCCTGCTATGTCTCTTTGTACAAATAAAAAGCTCAGTAAACAATCCAGGATTCCTTTATTTATTCCTGTCTGTCCCAATGGTTATTCCCTGGTTGTAGGAAGGGAGAGTGCAGCCCCCTTCCCACAGCAGAGCACTGGCAGCTCAGCACCAGGGAACAGGGGTAGGATGAGGCCAGGGAAGCTGCTGGTCCCGTGGGGGTTTGGCAGCAGGGAACTGAACAGGGAGCTGGAACTCATCCTGTGGAGCAGCCACCAACAGCCCCAGTGCTGAGAACTCCCTCAGGAGACCCTTTGGAATCAAAGGTCACACAAAGTAGCATAGGAGAGATTTCCAAATTAAGCACCTCAGGAATTATTGCTGTCCTTTGAAACAGCTGTCCAAAATCACAGTGAAAGGGGCATACCTGGGAACAGATCAAACAGCACAGACCCTGTAAGCAGCATCCATTTAAAGAACTTTAAACTGTGCCCTTTAAAAGCCAGCAACTGTTTCAGAACTAAGTGCAGGTGTTTGTACCTCAGCTTCTGCCTCCTCTGTGAGCCTTGAGCTTCCTCCAAAATGGGAGCTGGACTCAGCTCTTCCAGAGCCATCTCAGCATGAGAATGAATCACAGCCTGTGATCCTCTGCTGCTCTCCTCTCTTGGTTACTCACAAAACACAGGAATTCAGGAAAAAGCCCTGAAATCCCACCACTGTCCATCACCTTAGAACTGCTCATGTTGTACCCATCCCTGCTTTCAAAACTTGGCTAAAAACAGCAGGAAAGCATTTCCAGGGATTATATATCTGTTTTGGAGTAGACCAGAACTGTCTCTGACAGTTTCATAGATAACATCACCTTTAATGTACAAAAAATGCAACAATAAGGCAGATTAGGATCATCACTCAAATATTCCAGCTACCACATTAGAAAAATAAAACTTGTGTGTGGTGTAACAGTGTGCAGTGTCTGTTTTTCCTTCCAGTGCACAGGGAAGATCCTTTTTTACCTGTACAGTGCAAGATAAAAACTGAGTTGAAGAAAAGCAGGACTGAAGAAAGCAGGGCCTCTATTTTAGATGGAATGATGCAAAAGTCACAGAAACAAAAATAAAAACACAGGAAAAAAACCCACCCCACTGTTTTTACAGCCCCAGACTAAGCAGTGAAAATAAAACTGGAGCTGAAACTGCTCAATATTTAGGTTACAACATAAAACCCAGAGAAACAAGCCAGCTTGGAAAAACATTTCCCCTCCCTTGTGACCTGGGGAAGGCTCAGCAGAGAAAAGCAACAGGTTGATCAAGGCCACAACGCTCTTTATTGCTGCCAGAGGAGAACCCCCTGTTCCATCTCCTGCCACATGCTGCTGTCAGGAGCTCGGGGGGCTCTTCTCAGCTGTGCAAGTCCCAGTAACCCCCTCCCCAGGAGAGGGGGGGGCCTCTCTGCCGACGCGGCCGTTTCGGGAGGCGAGAGCGGGATCGCCACAAGTGCTGCGGACACGCCGGTTCCAGCGGGTGCTGAGGGAATTTTAGATCCTTTGCTATGTAAAACAAGGGGTTACCGGTTTCAGCCAGGGCTCAGAGTTGCCAGCTGCCCCCTGGTTCTGACCAGGTCCGTGTTAGGAGTGGTTTTATGCTGGTTCACAGTCGGAGCCCTGCAGGGGGGGCAGCGAGCTCTTCACCCACGCTCCGAGGCCAAGGATCCTGCTGACATTTAACCCCTGTAAGGTTTTTCCACGGGCTACATCTTGTACTGGTGGAGTGCACTCGAGAGTCACAGTGAAAGTGCTGTAAACACTGACAGAAGTGCTGACAAAACATCTGCAAAGACGTCGGCTGAGGAAAGGACCTGAGGAAAGCTCGTTAAGACAGACCCGCGAGTCGTTACTACACCACTTTTAGGAGTGCACTCATATTGGCTTGGTTTAAAAGCAATAAAAAATATTCAGATAAAAAAATATATGTATTCACACGAAGGATGAGCATTTCAGTTTTAAAAAGCAACATGTGTTTTTCCCTTTCAGGTGACAGAATGAAAACTTATCTTCCCCTAAGTACGCATGAAAACTTCTCCTGATTTTGATTCTGTTTGAAGGCAGCACCCGCTTCCCCCCACACACACACCAACCAGGCACCAGGAAGCACGTGGAGCTATTGCTGGTTTTCTTGCTGCCCTCTGACCACAGGAACTAGGCTGGTTTGGAATCACTGAGCAAACTGCTACTTCATTAGACAGATGGTCTCATCTGAGCATCTAAAATTTTACCGGTTACTTGTTTTGTCCTTTTTCAGAAAGCACGGGTTTAACCTGGAGCTTGGAGGAGCTGTTCAAGTATAAAATTATCCCTCTTAAGCAGGAACACATCCTAAAAACTCAGTAACCAGAGAAGAGGTCATCACATATGAACAGAAAACATCTGCCAACATGAAGAGCTGCTGTGTGTCTAAGAGAGCATGGATACTCTTCCACATGACAACTGGAAGAAAAAGACAATGCCTTTGAATTATTCAGAAAAAAAGTAAGCAGATGAGTTATTTCTTTGGTAAGTAATAGTTTCCCTCCTGAACTCCCCCATAAATCAGGTTTTCAGGCTTTACTTGCAATCCTACATCCTGATGCTAAGCAAACTTTCTGTCTGCTCTTCAATAAATATGCTGCGATAAAAACTTTTCCTCCCAAGCTAGGACCATGTGGCTGGGGATCCAAACAGAGTCCCATGAGCTGAAACTCCCTATTAAAAAAAAAAGGAAAAAGTTAAAAAAATAAAAAAACAAATCAACTTTTTGTAGCAGATGATGGCAACTTAGAAGGCAGGTGAAATGTTCACTTGAGCAATCCAGGAGTGGTCTTCCGACTGAAAGCTCTGAAAGCCTTTACACAGACTGGATCATCCTTACTTCAGGAGATGACCACGGAGTTATTTTTCCACCAGAGAAAGCTGTAAAACTTGCTGAAGCTCTGCATCCTCCTCCTCACGACGCTGCTTCTCCCTTTCCTCCTGCTCCCTGACAGACAGCTCCATGGCAAGCTGCAAGTCCTTCTCAAAGCTGGAAGGTTCGCTGGGGGTGCTGCAGTGGGAGGTACCCGAGCTGGTGAGGTAGCTCTCCTGCAGTGCCCTGAAGGAGAAAAAGAACTTGAAGAGGCAGGAGATCCAGCAATGATCCTCCTTAGTGACTGGTTTTGAACTGCAAACCTGAAAATCTCTCCCCAGAGGGCAGGAAACAGTTTTCAGGATAAGAGAGCAGTTGTTGTAACATCCGTAAAAATTCCCAGTGTAAAACTTGCTCTTTGGAGTTTCCTCAGAACCTTTCATGGTTCAGTTTTCCATGGGCTCCTAAAATCACCCTCTGCTAGTTTAGGGGTAACAGGATTTTCCACGTGCAGAAGCCCCAGGAGGGTGCACACAAAGGTTTCTTTGCACTCAGCTGCAGCAAAGACCCCACAGATCCCAGAGCAAATTCTCAAGGGTCCATTAAATATATATGGCTAAGTTTTTAAGGATTACATAATGATTTTGAAAAGAAAGAAGAGCTACCCTGAAGTGTGCAGCATAAACATTCAACCCAGAGGGACCCAACTCACTGTTTTAAGAGCAGAACAGGAGGAGTGTGTTTATTTGGTGGGTAAAGAGAGTTGTGTGCACAGTGCAGCATGTAATAAACATTCAACCCAGAGGGACCCAAGTCACTGTTTTAAGAGCAGAACAGGAGGAGTGTGTTTGTTTGGTGGGTAAAGAGTTGTGTGCACAGACCAGTCCCACAGCTGAGCTACACCACACAAGCCAGGGAGGCCCAGTTTGGAGTCCTTGCTTCTTGGAGAAGTAAAAGTTAGAAGCAGCACAAGAAAAGAGACCTTGAATTCTGTGCATCTGCTACCTATGTATGCAAAAACATGGCAAAAGTGCTTCAACTCCTGTTGGAAGTGGTTTTGCCCTGTCACTGTGTGGCTGGATGTGGATGAGAATGAGTTACCTCTGGTACTGTATATTGAAGTCCTGGGGATATGCAACTGCTCCATTGGAATGTGCCTCCACGCCCTGGAAATGGGAGAGACAGACAGCCCCACAGTGGTCAACATGGAAGGGAACTCTTAGAATACAATCCTAGAATCATTAAGCTTAGAAAAGACCTCTAAGATCATCAAGTCCATCAACCCAGCACTACCATGGCCACTAAATCATGTCCTCAAGTGTCTACACGGGTTTTTTTAACCCCTCCAGGGATGGGGACTGCACCACTCCATTCAGAGATGCAGCTGCTGCTGCACAGCCCTTGTCAAAGCTGCTGCACAGACCACAGCACACTCACTTTGCTGCCACCAGACTCCAGCAAGCTCTGCTGAATAGCAAACTGCATGATCTCGTTGTCTTCGTCCTGCACGTGTATGTTCCTCCCATCACCTTGGACGTGGTAGGATTTGGGGATCTCAAACACTGACTGGTCAACCTCAAAATCAGCACCTACAGAAGCCAAAAGAGTTACAAACATGGCAGAATGTGTTTTTTTGTAAAAGTTGTGACTTAAAATATTCTGGTGAATGTTTCTGTATTGTTAAATTCACTACAAAAGTTCAGATGAACCACCTGGCTAAATATACCAGCAGGCTTTGAAGGAAGGAAGCCCAGCAGTGAGAGTGAACTCAGGGCCTTTCTTTAAGATGCTGGCATGTGATACCAATGAAACCAGTTTGTGGCAGAGACCTAAGGCAGCTGAACTCCAACAAACCCAGATGGGGAAAAGAAAAAAAGGCTGCAAAGGATAAATGCCACAGTGGCTCTTCTGAGGTTATTCCAAATGAATGGATCTGCAGCAGCTCACAGGACAGAGTATCATGGGATATGTGCAGTCATGAGCACCCCACGTCCCAGAGCACTAGAATTTAGACCTCAGAATAGTTGGGAAAGCTTGCCAGAGCCCAGTCTGGCAGCAGGGAAGGGGCTGAATGGCTCAGTATGGCCAGTATCCCACACTCCACACCAGCAGTAACACCTCACAGCTCCCTCTCACCTGTAAAGGGGTCACTCTGGAGTTAACCCACCTTGCTCTCTGCTGTGCATTCCACTGACAGACACCTAAAAGATGAGGTTGCTGCATCCTCCCACTCCTCACCTGCATCAGACTGTGCCCCCCCAGCCACTTGTGATGTTTTATCAGCTGTTCTGCAGCCATTGACATTTTCAAATGTGATTCGGGCATTCAGCACATGAAATAGGGGAATTTCTGTAAGAAAGAGGAAAATATTTGTCAGAAAGAGACCTCTCCCATTCACTTCCACATCAAACCATTACTGAATATACTCCACAAGCAGCATCCCATCATGACAGAGAATATAGTAACTCACTTCACCAAGAAGTTGCCCTTAGTCAGTCTCACTTTCTCTAAACCTCTTCTCTTATAGCAAGATTGCCCAATCTAAGGCACTGAAGCTAAGACAACAGGGCTAGCAGCACCTCATTCTTACTGAAATGAGACTGTCTTTAAAATTGTACTTCTGCACTGGTCATTTTGGAGTTTGGATTCAGTGATCCCAGAGGCACAAAAAAGTGTATGTCTGGGTTAGTTCTAGTTATCTAGTTAGTTCTAGTTATGAGATGGATCATAAAAAAATAACAAGGGTTTGGAAATACAGCCTGCAAAACCAATAGAAAGAATGGAAATGAAGACAGTACAATAAAAATTGCTAAATATTACCAATTTTGACAGGAAATCCTGGTGGAAATTCCAGAGTGATGAAATCCTTTAGTCTGGCAAAATGAGCACTGGTTCTGGCCATCAGATCAATGATTGGAGTGACTTGTTCCATAAGAGACAAGGGAAACTCTTCACTCATCCACAAGGTCGCTTTAAACCTTAGAAAAGTTGCATGAAAACATTCTAAGTTTACAATTTAGGAACAGATGCAAAGCAAAATAAACAGCACTATGACCTGCTTCATGCATTTCACAGAGTCTTAACAGTTCTGCCCCTTAGAAACCAAGGCAGAAATCCTGGGCAGGCCAAAGGCAAAGGTTACAGGACTACTCCCAGTGTTTTCTCTCTCATAGTGGAAGAAGAATTAGGCTACAGCTGAAACTTCAAGCTCTCTCTTGTGATCAGTTTTGAAAGCTGGGGGGAGAACACACTGGGCATTTGTAGTAAAAATGTTTGCCAGAGATTAGATGAGTGGGAAGAGACAAACTGGAAACAGTTAAAATGTTATTTCTCACTTCTGCGTTCGAATGGCGACTTCTTTTGGTCTTCCAATGTCTCTACCTTTCAGATCAAACTCTGGGTCAAAGTACTCCTCCAGAGTAATAGCAGTGGGGTTGTTACTTGCAGCATACTCTGTTGTCTTGGTCGTACTCTATAAGGGAAGAGAGAAAAACCAAAAACAAAACTCAAAAGTATGGAACAAATAGACAGTGGCTACTACAAGAAACTTTTAAGGCACCTCTTGTGAACTCGTTCTCTATTTTAGCCAACACAAGTGCACACATTTAGCCTGCTTTCTACTCAGGTTAAAAATCTCCAAGCATTTTAGAGACAGGAAAAATATTTAAAGCTAGAAACCAACCAGAAATGCACACACAGGCATTTCTAGGCTGCAAATCCTTTATTAAAGGCAAAACTTTGATGGGTATTTGAAACAAAAACCTCTCTAGATTCATTTAAGATTTGCAACACCATCCTGACACAGAGCCAGCAGTTGGCAAATCTGTTATCTGCTGCACCTAGGTATGTAGAGGTTTTTCCAAAGCCTTATCAAAATGGTTATCACCACATTTCAAAGCAGCAGAGGGTCCATGGGTTTGCTCTGAGCTGCTCAAGGGCAGTGTGTAACAGGCCATGCCCTCAAGGATTGCCATGCTAGCACCATCTCCCACCTCAGGCTCCTGCAGGGCTCTGCACAGCTCTGCCTGTGTTACTGCTGGGCTGCCACCAAGACCTGTGCATGCTCAGATTCACTGCCACTGCTCACAGCCCAGCTCCTGCTGTGCTAACGGGTTCTAGCTCTTTTCACAAGTGCTCAGGAGGAGGTACCTGCTGCTCACACAGAACATTTGAGGGCTTCAAACAAACAAAAACATCCTCAGGGGAAAACTTACACCTCATAATCAAAATTGCTGCTAAACTAAGGAAACATGAGGCAATTCCACATTCCTAGAATTCCTGCT